TATATATATATATATATATATAATACATACACATATATATACTTATACATAATCATATATATTAAATATACAATTAAATAGCATACCTAATACTAATAACTACATACTTATATAATATTTATATATAATTTAATATATATAATATATATATATATAAACATACATACATATATATATTAAAACGATTACTAAATAAATACATACATATGATATATATATTTATATATAATATATATATATACATACAATACAATATTATATAACATAATATTACTATAATATTCCTATACATACATTACTTATATATAAGTATTACTATATATATATATATTGATATATTTATATACAATACATATTGTATATATAATTAAAACAATACTTATTATATACATCTTATATATATAATAATATTATATATATATATCTATATTATATTTAAAGCATAAAAACTAATAACACCTGAATGTTTTAAAAATATCACAAACTCGAAGGCTGAAACAACTCTGAACAACACTGCATGTACATATAGAGCTACATCCATAAATAAGGAGACAAATAAACAAACGATATGCAGTTTCTCTAATATTTACTGGTGGCGGGGGACTTACCTTCTGCAAAACATGAGCTCTTCTCTTCTCAACCTTGACAATCGACGCAAGATCACCAACATTGCACTCAAATTCCAGGAAACGGTTCCACAGCCCGACAGTGTCCTCATTTTTCAGCTGTCCTGAGGTTAGCACTCTTTCAAAACAAAAACTCTTGTGTGTTATCGTCTGGAAGTAAAAAGAAAGATAAGAGTGAATATAGCCTTGGATATTATCTGTACTACTATGATTACTAATATCAGTAAAATAATAACCATAATAAGGATGATGAAAATAACAAACAAAATTATACATATAATTGGTATAAATAAAACTTTTCGTTTTAGAAAGAGGTCAAACTTGCTGAAGAGAGAAATGACATGTTAATCAATACTTTATAATCAAGTAAACTTCATAGTGACAGGAAGTAATACATATTTAAAATTACAATCTGCATCAATTACTAAATAAATCGCCTTCTCGGTTAGACTTCATCGCATAGTTGTATCTCAATCATCATATATTTATGTAGTACAATTTCAGTTTCATTTATTGTCCTTTTTAATGCGACTTAAATAACATCAGACAACGTCTCGAGCAGACTTCAAAAATAAGGAAGCAGGTATACTCGAGTTGAACTCTTAGGCAGACACTTAAACATTCTACTATTAGTTTATGGCAACAGAATGTATCAATTCCAACAGAAATTGCTATATAGAATTCCCTACCTAGTGACAACGCCGAACGGAAGACATATCCAGTAGGCGATACCAGTACAAAGCGGATAAAATAGTCACACATAGCCAAAGTTAGCTGCATATTCCGGCACTGCTGGATTCCCGAGTCAAAATGTCCTTAAAAGCAAGTCCAAGCAATATTGCTTC